GTGGCTGGCGCCTTAGCCGGTTGAGCTATAGGCGCCGAGCCAAAAATTGCTTTATTTTTAAAAGTTCTGTCTAATAATACTCCAGCTTTAGGTTCTCATATATGTCATTTTCAAAACTCCTTTTTCCAGATATTGTCTCATTTGGACACTCATGATAACTTAGTCAAGTTGGAAGAAAAAGTATTCTGACTTCAATTTTTAATGGTCAAAGTCTCAAAAATGCTTGCAGTTTTACAGAGTGGCATGGCTTGGTGGAACCAGGAATCCCACACATGTCCTCTGCCTCTGAGCTCAATGTTCTCCAGTGTAACATGCCACTTCCCAGTTAGACTCCACCCCCCCAAATGAAGAAAAGTGTAAACATAAAAGGTGTGAGTACTCCAGAAGGTATCATGGCTTTCCAAACAGGAATGGCTTCCAGAAACTTCTCATTTGAATCAGAGAGACATAAACTCAATAATGTTGTTAATTATTAATTATTATTTTTCTGGAATGAGGAGTGGTGGAGAAAAAGGCCCAAACAGAACCCCAAATGTAGGACAAATGTTCTTTAGAATGTATCTATTTAACAAGCTTTTTATAGCACTTTCTTTGTGCCAGGCACTGTTCTAAGCACTTCACAAATAATAACTCTTGTGGTCCTAGTAATAACTCTAGGAAGTATTATTATTATTTTCTATTCCCATTTTTTTTTTATTGAATGGTAACTATGTACATTAATGCACTTCTGGGGTACAGTGTGGGGTTTTCACACACAATCCGAAACACTTCCATCAAACTGGTTAACATAACCTTCATGTCATTTTCTTAGTTATTTTAAAACGTTCACATTCTACTCTTAGAAAGATTCACTTGTATATTATTACCATTTTATAGATAAAGACAGTGGCTTGCCCAAAGTCACACAGACAGTGAGTAGTGGGGCCAGGATTCACGCTCGAGGAATCTAAGCTCTGAAGTCTAAGCTGTTAACCATCACGACATGCCAAACATTTCTGGACTTTTAGACATTATCCCTTGCGTGCCTAGTATTGGACCACTGTTTCCATTCTCTGTCTGATCCTCTTTCTTTTGTGGTTTCAGATGGATCAGTTCATGCAGCAGCTTCAGAGCCTGGAGGCCCTGATTTCAAAGGCACAGAGTGGTGGCGGAGCAGTACCCAATACAGAGCTGGAAGACAGGATGCAGCAGGCTGAGCAGGCCCTCCGGGACATCCTGAGAGAAGCCCAGATTTCAGAAGGTGATGATACCAGCTTCCCTCTTTAGACAGGAGAGAATTCATAGTCCTACACTAGGTGACAGAGTCTTCTGAGGACATTAGTTCAGCAGGTGTCTCCAGAGGTAGAACTATTCGTGACATTCCCCTGGGACTTGACTGATGGCGCTAAAAGAATGGTTGCACACATGTATCTATTGGTTTTTGTAACTTTGCCATTAGCCAGTCATCCTCCATTATGTTTAATAACTCGTGCATCCTAACCCAGAAGGTGCTCATCCTGCCTTTCCTTCTTTGTGTTTAGGTGCTAGTAGAGCCCTCAGTCTCCAGTTGGCCAAGGTGAGGAACCAGAAGAACAGCTTCCAGAACCGCCTGGATGACCTCAAGATGACAGTGGAAAGAGTTCGGGCCCTGGGAAGTCAGTATCAGAACCGAGTTCAGGACACACGCAGGCTCATTACTCAGATGCGACTGAGCATGGCGGAAAGTGAAGCTGCCCTGCGAGACACGGTGGGTGTTGCTGGCTTGGGGGCTGAGAATCCTGCTGTGTGGGAGACCCGCCTGTAGATCTCGCTGGCTCACTTCCTGCTCTGGGCTACGTGACCGGTAGTTGGACTTCTCTTCCTTGTAATGGTCATACTACTCTGTCTTTGGCCTCCTGCAGCTGCCCATTGTACTGCATTCCCTGTTTCTCCCTAGTTCATTTGTTCCTAACCACATCCTTACCTCGGCCCTGTCTATCCTTCCTTTTTTTCTGCCAATCTCCTAGCTTGCAAACTGCCACAGGCAGGATTTACTTTTGTTCATATTTGCATTCTCAGCCCACAGCCCAGACATTTACCCATTGTGGTAAATGTCTACTGCATGAATGAATGGATGGATAAAGAAATGAAGGAATGCATGAATGAATGAATGAAAAGGCAAAGAAGGGAGGAGCCCAATAAAGACATGGTTTTAAAAACTGAAAAGAATTGAGGCCAGTATGCTTTTCTTACCAATGTAGTTTGTAGTGTAGTAGGAAGGAGAGATTTGGTTGAACATGCTTCTATTTCTGAATTAAGAAGATTGTTGTGACAGTAATGTAAGTGGGGGGAGATGAATAAAGGAAATTGGGAGGTGATCAGGTACTACCATGAGGAACTCACGTTAAGAAAAATATGTATTGGTTTTTTCCCTTATTGCAAAAATATTTATTGTAGAAAATAAGCAAAAATTCCCTACAATCCCATTATTACTAAACACTGTTAAAACTTGCTATATATCCTACTGGACTTTAAATACATATAAAAATGTGCACATGTGTATATTTTTACACATTGCCACTCTAGGAAAAATTTGTTTTCCTTGGGGCCATGGTTTTTTATTACAAAAATAAAATAAAAGCTTTGAAAACAGGGTAGC